GCTGCTGTCTCTGTTGCTGTCCCTGTTGTGTCTACATAACCCTGTTGCTGCTGTCTCTGTTGTAAGGTCTGTTGCTGTCCCCTGTTGCTGTCCCCTGTTGTGGTGGTGTCTGTTGCTGTCCCTGTTGCTGTCCCTGTTGTGGCCACATGGGTTGTCCCTGTTGCTGTCCCTGTTGTGTTGCTGTCCCTGTTGCTGTCCCTGTTGTGTCTGTTGTCTCTGTTGCTGTCCCTGTTGTGTCTGTTGCTGTCCCTGTTGTGTCCCTGTTGTGCCCTGCTGTCCCTGTTGTTGTCTCTGTTGGTGTCTGTTGCTGTCCCCTGTTGCTGTCTCTGCTGCTGTCTCCCCTGTTGCTGTGTCTCTGCTGTGTCTGTTGCTGTCCCTGTTGCTGTCTCTGTTGTCCCTGTTGTGTCTGTTGTGTCTGTTGTCCTGTTGTGTCTGTTGCTGTCCCTGTTGCTGTCTCTGTTGTAGTCTGTTGCTGTCCCTGTTGCTGTCTCTGTTGCTGTCTCTGTTGCTGTCCCTGTTGTGTCTGTTGCTGTCCCTGTTGCTGTCTTGTTGTGTCTGTTGCTGTCCCTGTTGCTGTCTCCCCATAGTCTGCTGGTTGTCCCTGTTAAGGTTCCCCATAGGTCTGTTGCTGTCCCTGTTGCTGTCTCTGTTGTGTCTGTTGTCCCTGTTGCTGTCTCCTCCCCCTGTTGTGTCTGTTGCTGTCCCTGTTGCTGTCTCTGTTGTGTCTGTTGCTGTCCCCTGTTGCTGTCCCCTGTTGTGTCTGTTGCTGTCTGCTGCTGTCTCTCTGTTGCTGTCCCTGTTGTGTCTGTTGTTGTCCCTGTTGCTGTCCCTGTTGTGTCTGTTGCTGTCCCTGTTGTCTCCCCTGTTGTGTCTGTTGTCCCTGTTGCTGTCTCTGTTGCCCCCTGTTGGGTTGTCTCTGTTGTGGGTCTGTTGCTGTCCCTGTTGCTGTCTCTGTTGCTGTCCCTGTTGTGTCTGTTGTGTCTGTTGCTGTCCCTGTTGTGTCTGTTGCTGTCCCCTGTTGTCTCTATGTGTCTGTTGCTGTCCCTGTTGCTGGGTCTCTCATGTGTCTGTTGCTGTCCCTGTTGCTGTCTCTCTGTTGTGCCTGTTGCTGTCCCTGCTGCTGTCTCTGTTGTGTCTGTTGCTGTCCCTGTTGCTGTCTCTGTTGTGTCTGTTGGCTGTCCCCTGTTGTCTCTCATGTGTCTGTTGTCCCTGCTGCTGTCCCTGTTGTGTCTGTTGCTGTCTGTTGCTGTCTCTGTTGTCCCTGCTGTGTCTGTTGTTGCTGTCCCTGTTGCTGTCCCTTGCTGTGTCTGCTGCTGTCCCTGTTGCTGTCTCTGTTGTGTCTGTTGCTGTCCCTGTTGCTGTCTCTGTTGCTGTCTCTGTTGCTGTTCCCCCACAAATCTGTTGGTTAACCCTGTTGCTGTCTCTGTTGCTGTCCCTGTTGTGTCTGCCAGTCTGTTGCTGTCCCCTGTTGTGTCTGTTGCTGTCCTGTTGCTGTCTCTCTGTTGTGCCCAAGTTGTTGTCCTGCTGTCTTCTGTTGCTGTCCCCTGTTAAAATTGTTGTGTCTGTTGTTGCTGTCCCAGTTGTGTCTGTTGCTGCCCCTGTTGCTGTCTCTGTTGTGTCTGTTGCTGTCCCTGTTGCTGTCTCTCTGTTGCTGTCTCTGTTGCTGTCTCTGTTGTGTCTGTTGCTGTCCCTGTTGCTGTCTCTGCTGTCCCTGTTGTGTCTGTTGTGTCTGTTGCTGTCCTGCATGTGTCTGCTGCTGTCCGTTGCTGTCTCTGTTGTGTCTGTTGCTGTCTCTGTTGTTGTCTGTTGCTGTCCCTGTTGTGTCTGTTGTGTCTGTTGCTGTCCCTGTTGTGTCTGTTGCTGTCCCTGTTGCTGTCTTCTGTTGTGTGTGTTGGTTTTTCTGTTGTGTCTGTTGCTGTCCTGTTGTGTCTGTTGTCAGGACTGTCACTCCTGTTGTCATTGCTACTCCCATTAAATCCACAGCTGCTGAGAGAGAGAGAGAGAGAGAGAGAGAGAGAGAGAGAGAGAGAGTTAAAACCACAATCCCTTTTGCTCGCCCAAGAACTGTTGTTGACTTTTCCTCTGCTTGGAAGATTAGGCGCACTGTCTTCCTAATCCCTCGCCTTCGTTTTGGGATTCGATTCGGCCTCCTGATTAGGTTTTTCTTCTACTCAGTCCTCTAATTCTCCCCCTTCCCTCTCTCACCCACTTTTTTTGTGGGGAGGGGATGTTTTGTGTTGGGGGGAGGAGATGTTTGTGTTGGGGGGGAGGGTGGTTAGTGGAGGGGGAGATGTTTGTGTTGGGGGGAGGTAGTGGTTGGGGAGGAGATGTTTGTGTTGGGGGAGTGTGTTGGGGGGGGAGGTACTTAAGGAGGGGGGAGGGATGTTTGTGTTGGGGGGAGGTTGGTGGGTGGGGGTGTTGGGGGGGGTTGGTGGGGGGGGGGGGGATGTTTGTGTAAGGGGAGGTATTGGTAAGGGAGGGGGAGGAGATGTTTGTGTTGGGGGGTGTTTGTGGGGGTGAGATAATACAAAAATGCTTTAACAATACTGAGCGTGGGAGTCTATGCTGGCCAGAGAAAATTGGCCTATTCTCACCATAACTTCTCAGCGAAAGGAGATATTGATCTTTATTCGTAAATTGTCTTTTCTGTGGTGATTCGACTACCAGCAACCCAGAGTGGGAGTTGGGTTGGGAGGGGGGTGGGGAGGTGGGGAGGGGGAGGGGGAGGGTGGGGGAAGGCAGGGAGGGTGTGTGGGGGAGGCAGGAGGGTGGGGGAGGCAGGGAGGGTGGGGGGAGGAGGGAGGGTAGGGGGAGGGAGGGAGGGTGGGGGTGAGAGGGGGAGGGTGGGGGGAGGGGGAAGGTGGGGGAAGGTAGGAGGGTGGGGGGAGGCAGGGAGGGTGGGGAGGCAGAGGCAGGGATAGGAGTTGAGGGTTCTCTCCTGTGTACAACATACAAGAGGAAACTTTATTACATAAGACCATTACAAACAGCTACAGTATATCGCTTTACACCATAAATTGCACAGTTGATGATGATAATATTAACGTCAATTATTTCTACCCATTTAATTTAATTGTTTACACAAGTGAACTATGTTGTTTGCTGTTCTATACCAGACAGCTGCCAACTCAACTACTTTTCTTCACATCAAGTTTGTATTCCAATAAATATCTGGTGTCCGCTTGTTAACTAAACCCTTCAGTAATATGTGTTATCGTTCAGCTGAGGGAAGTGCCATCTCGTAGTCAAGGGGTTAAACCAAACATCGCTGCTTCTACAGACACAGATTCAAACATATAAACATATCCGTAATCCATTTGGTGTCATAAATGCCCCTTTAGCACCGGAGCACTTTAATTAGTACATGGGATATCCTCTTCTCAAACTATTATAACCTTAGTATTGTCATCTGCAACAAGACGATTACACTCAGCTCAGGAAACCCCGTCAGTTATTGTTAAAGCGTTATCCTGTCTTGTTTTATCTCCCATCTGATGTACACTTTTTCCTCCTCACCCCCCAGTATCCCTCCCTCCTCCCGTCCCCCCAGCAGAAAGACAGCAACCTCTGACACACACACCTTCCCTCTCCTCCCACCACTCTGCTTATGCTTCCACTCCATCTTAAGAGTCAGGGTTATTTGAGGGAGGGGAGGACAACGCTAAGAGGTAAACGCGGGAGTGGAGCCAACAGTACATACAGTCTTCCAGTCCAGTGGTTCATAGTTTAGTTCCAGGTTCCAGTAAGTCTGTACTATAAATACAGTCTTCCAGTCCAGTGGTTTGCGGTTCCAGACTGGTGACGGATGAGCCGATTAAAAGAAAGATCTTCGACTTTGCCCGTTAAGCTTTAGAGGCGATTGCTTAGAGGCGCATTTACAGCTTCCGCACCGCAGCTGGTCAAGCCCGTATAACAACAACCACCACCACCACAACAACCATAACAACAACACCACCACCCAACAACCATAACAACAACTACACAATACATATATAACAACCATCTCTGTGTAGGTTATAATGAACAAGAGGTGGGTTCAGGTATATCCCAGGTGACAGAATGGTTCATTAGTCCTGCAGCTAACGGTCACACACACACACACACACACACACACACACACACACACACATTAACGACCTGTGGTTATAACTAGTATGACATACATACATATACAGATACATACATACATACATACATAGTGAAATACTCCCGACACTTCCTGTTCAGTTTGTTTAAAGCAGGAAATGGTACCCAACCGACAGTTATTGTACACTGAAATTTATGTAGTCATGTACAGAGACACCAGCACACACACACACACACACACACGCACACACCATATTTTGAAAATTTGAGAATTAATACGTCCTAACTGTGTGTGTGTGTGTGTGTGTGTGTGTGTGTGTGTGTGTTTGTGTGTGTGTGTGTGTGTGTGTTTTAAGGATTAACTCCATTTCTTGATTGCCAGTCTTGCTTGGTTCTGACGCATGCAGCTGTTGCACACACACACACACACACACACTCCAACGCTCGCTCGTGTCTGTGGATTTATTAGGTTAACCACATACAAGATCTGGTGACGTCGGGCCATATTAATCGGAGACTGTTGGAGAAGGCGTGAATGAATGACTGGTGTGTGATTAGGGACACTCAGCTGCAGGTGTATATAGATGGTGTAGGTGAAGACGGTACCTCCCATCACCATCACCGCCCCATCACTATTACTGCCCCATCACTATCACCGTCCCATCGCCAACTCATTGCCATTACCAACCCATCGCCATCACTATTACTTCTTCACTATTACTGCCCCATCACTATCACCGACCCATCACTATTACTCACTATCACTGCCCCATCACTATTACTGTCCCATCACTATTACCGACCCATCACTATCAACGACCCTATCACTAATACTGCCCCATCACCATCACCGACCCATCACTTATTACTGCCCATCTACTATTACTGCCCTTCACTATCACACCGACCCATCACAATTACTGCCCCATCACTATTACTGCCCCATCACCGACATATCACTACACTGCTATCACTATTACTGTCCATCACTATCAACGACCCATCACTATACTGCCCCATCACCATCACCGACCCATCACTATTATGCCCCATCACCATTACTGCCCCTTCACTATCACCGACCCATCACAATCGCCCCATCACTATTACTGCCCCATCACTATCACCGACCCATCACTATTACTGCCCTATCACCATATTGCCCCATCACCATCACCGACCCATCATTTTACTGCCCCATCACCATCACCGACCCATCACTATTACCGCCCCATCACACTACGTCTCCATCATTCATCACCGACCCATCACTATTACGCCCCATCACAATTACGTCCCATCACTATCACTGACCAATCACTATTACTGACCCATCCTATTACTATCCATCACTATTACTGCCCCATCACTATCGCACCCATACTATGGCCCCTATCAACTTTACACTGCTTACTACCCCATCACTATCACCGACCCATCATTTGCCCCATCACTATTACTGCCCCATCACTATCACCGACCCATCACTATTACTGACCCATCACTATTAAGCCTTTACATCACTTGCTGCCCCATCACTATCAACGACCCATCACTATTACTGACCCATCACTATTAATGCCCCATCACTATTACTGCCCCATCACTATCACCGACCCATCACTATTACTGCCCCATCACTGTACTGCCCCATCTATCACCGACCCATACTGACCCATCACTATTAATGCCCCATCACTATTACTGCCCCATCACTATCACACCGACCCATCACTAACACTGACCCATCACTATTACTGCTAACACTATTACTAGCTTCATCCCCATTATGCCCCCATCACCATTACTGACCCATCACTATCATTCGACCCATCACTATCACCGACCCATCACTATCACCGACCCATCACTATTACTGCCCCATCACTATTACTGTCCCATCACTATTACTGCTCCCATCTATCACCGACCCATCACTATCACCGACCCATCACTATCACCGACCCATCACTATCACCGACCCATCACTTTACTGCCCCATCACTATTACTGTCCCATCACTATTACTGACCCATCACTATCACAGACCCATCACTATCACTGACCCATCACTATACTGACCCATCACTATCTTACAACCCATCTACTATTACTGCCATCCTCTTTACTGCCCATCACTATTACTGACCCATCACTATTGCCTGCATCTTTCTCTGACCCCTCACTATCACCGACCCATCACTATTACTGCCCCAACACCTATTACTGCCTCATCACTATTACTGACCCATCACTATTACTGCCCCATCACTATTACTGTCCCATCACTATCACCTTCCATCACTATACCAACCCATCACTATCACCGACCCATCACTATTACTGCCCCCATCACTATCACCGACCCATCACTAATACTGCCCATCACCATCTCTATCCACTATCACTGACCCATCACTATTACTGCCCATCACTATTACTGCCCCATCACTATTACTGCCCCATCACTATCACCAACCCATCACTATCACTGACCCATCACTATCACTGACCCATCACTTTATCGACCCATCACTATCACCGACCATCACTATCACCGACCCATCACTATCACCGACCCATCTTCCATCACTTCATTGCCTTGCATCACTATTGCCCATCTTCATACTGCCCCATCACTATCACCGACCCATCACTTTATCACTGCCCATCACTACTACTGCCCCATCACTATACTGCCCCACCACTATCACCGACCATCACTATCACTGCCCCATCCACTATCTGACCCATCACTATCACTGACCCATCACACTATTACTGCCCCATCACTATTACTGCTGCTCCATCACTATTACTGCCCCATCACACTACTGCCCATCACCATTTCACCCCCATCACACTATTACTGCCCCATCACTATCACTGACCCATCACTATCACTGCCCATCTACACTATTACTGCCCCACCACTATCACCGACCCATCACTATGCTGCCCCATCACTATTACTGCCCCATCACTATTACTGCCCCATCTACTTTGCCCCCACCACTATCACCGACCCATCACTATCCTGCCCCATCACTATTACCGACCATCACTATCACCGACCCATCACTATTACTGCCCCATCACTATTGCTGCTCCATCACTATTACTGCCCCATCACTATTTACGCCCATCACTATTACGCCCCATCACTATTACCCCCATCACTATCACCGTTATCACTATCCTGCCCCATCACTATTACTACCTATCACCGACCCATCACTATTACTGCCCCATCACTGTTACTGCCCCATCACACTGCTATTACTGCCCCATCACTATTACTGCCCCATCACTATCACTGCCCCATCACTATTACTGCCCCATCACTGTACTGTCACATATCACTATTACTGCCCCAATCACTATTACTGCCCCATCACTATCACCGACCCATCACTTACTGCCCCATCACTATCACCGACCCATCATATTACTGCCCATCACTATTGCCTTACATCACTATCACCATCCATCACTATCACCGACCATCACTATTGTGCCCCATCACTATCACCGACCATCACTATTACTGCCCCATCACTATTACTGCCCATCACTATCACCGACCCATCACTATTACTGCCCATCCTATTACTGCCCCATCTCAATCACTTACCCATCACTATTACTGCCTCATCACTTCTACTGACCCATCCTATTACTGCCCCATCACTAATACCTTACATCACTATCACTGACCATCACTATGCCCATCACTAATACCCCCATCACTATCACCGACCCATCACTATTACTGCCCCATCACTATTGCCTCATCACTATCACCTACCCATCACTTTATTACCCGCATCACTATAATGTCCCATCACTTATACTGCCCCATCACTATCACCGACCCATCACTAACACTGACCCATCTATTGCACCCTTAACACTATTACTGGCTTTCATCACTATTACCCATCACTGTACCGACCCATCACTATCATGACCCATCACTGTCACCGACACATCACTCATCTCGACCCATCACTATTACTGCTTCATCACTATTGTGTCATCACTATTACTGCCCATCACTATCACCGACCATCACTATCACCGACCATCACTATCACTGACCATCACTATCACCGACCCATCACTATTACCTTTACTCACTATTACTGCTCCATCACTGTTACTGACCCGTCACTATCACTGGCCCATCTTTATCACCGACCCATCATATCACCGACCATCACTATCACCGACCCCTATATTACCCCATCACTATTTGCCCATCACTAAGCCCATCACATACTGCCCCATCACTATTACTGACCCATCACTATCACCGACCCATCACTATTACTGCCCCAACACTATTACTGTCATCACTATTACTGACCCATCACTATTACTGCCCCATCACTATTACTGTCCCATCACTATTACTGCCCCATCACTATCACCAACCCATCACTATCACCGACCCATCACTATTACTGCCCATCACTATCACCGACCCATCACTATTACTGCCCCATCACTATCACCAACCCATCACTGTCACCGACCCATCACTATACTGCCCATCCTATTACTGCTCTATCACTATTACTGCCCATCACTATCACCAACCCATCATATCACGACCCATCACTATCATCGACCCATCACTATCACCTAACCCATCACTATCACCGACCCTTCACTATCACCGACCCATCACTATCACCATCCCATCACTATTACTGCCCCATCACCTTACTGCCCATCACTATTACTGCCCCATCACTATTTCTGCCCCATCACTATCACTGACCATCCTATTACTGCCCCATCTTCTGCTGCTTCTTACTATTACTGCCCCCCCACTATCACCGACCATCTTATCACTGCCCCATCACTATCTTGACCATCTTATCACCGACCCATCACTATTACTGCCCTCCATATTACTGCTCACCATCACTATTACTGCCCCCATCACTATTACTGCCCATCATATTACTGCCCCCATCACTATTGCTGCCCCATCACTATCACCGACCCATCACTATCACTGCCCATCACTATTCTTTTCCCACCACTATCACCGACCATCACTATTGCCCCATCACTATTGCGCCCCATCACTATTACTGCCCCATCACTATTACTGCCCCATCACTATCACCCCATCACTATTACTGCCCCATCACTATTACTGTCCCATCACTATTACTGCCCCATCACTATTACTGCCCCATCACTATCACCGACCCATCACTATTCTGCCCCTAATCACTATCACCGACCCATCACTATTGCTGCCCCATCACCTATTGCTGCCCCATCACTATCACCGACCCATCACTATCACCGACCCATCACTATTACTGCGCCCATCACTATCACCGACCCATCACTATTGCACCTCATCACTATTACTGCCCATCACTATCACCGACCCATCACTATTACTGCCCCATCACTATTACTGCTATCACAATCACTGACCCATCACTATTACTGCCCCATCCACTATCACCGACCCATCACTATTACTGCCCATCACTATTCTGCCCCATCACTATCACCGACCCATCACTATCACCGACCCATCATTATTACTGCCCCATCACTATCACCGACCCATCACTATTACTGCCCATCACTATTACTGCCCCATCACTATCACCGACCCATCACTATTACTGCCCCATCACTATTCTGCCCATCACTATTACTGCCATCACTATTACTTCATCCTATTACTTTTACCATCGCCATCACAGCCTCATCACCATGCAACTCATCACCATCAACTCATCACTATCAACGCGTCATCGCTAACTCGTCACCGCCTCCTCACTATCAACGCCCATTACCAGCTTCAGTCATCACCATCACCACTCCATATCCAACTTCATCATTCCTTCATACCTCCCTCACCCTCCACTCCCACCACCTCCCTCACCCTCCACTCTACCCACCTCCCTCACCCTCCACTCCCACCTCCCCACCCTCCACCCTCCACCACCACCTCCCTCACCCTCCACTCCACCACCTCCCTCACCCGCCACTCCCACCACCTCCCTCACCCTCCCTCCCACCACCTCCCCTCCCCTCCCTCCACCACCTCCCCTCACCCCTCCCTCCACCACCTCCCTCCCCTCCACTCCACCACCTCCCTCACCCCCTCCTCCCACCACCTCCCTCACCCTCCACACCACCACCTCCCTCACCCTCCATTTCACAAAGACCCGATAACAGACGATAGCTAAGAAACACAAAGACCCGATAACAGACGATAGCTAGAGAAACACAAAGACCCGATAACAGTAGATAACAAAGAAAACACAAAGACCCGATAACAGACGATAACTAAAGAGAAACACAAAGACCCGATAACAGACGATAACTAAGAGAAACACAAAGACCCGATAACAGAGCGGATAGCTAAGAACACAAAGACCCGATAACAGACGATAACTAAGAGAAACACAAAGACCCGAGTAACAGACGATAGCTTAGAGAAACAAAGGACCCGATAACAGACGATAACTAAGAGAAACACAAAGACCCGATAACAGACGATAGCTTAGAAAACACAAAAAGACCGATAACAGACGATAGCTTAAGAAACACAAAGACCCGATAACAGACGATAGCCAAGAGAAACACACAGACCGATAACTGACGATAGACAGAGAAACATAAAGACCCGATAACAGACGATAGCTAAGAGAAACACAAAGACCCGATAACAGACGATAGCTAAGAAACACAAAGACCCGATAACCGACGATAGCTAAGAGAAACACAAAGACCCGATAACAGAC